GTAAGACAATTGACCTTGACTGGATCTGAACTTTCGTTGAACGAAAATGTGATATCTGTCATCGTTGCTGCAAGTATTTACAAGCTGTCAAGTTGATTTTAAACACTCTCAGAGAACCTCAGTGGGCATTTGGGATTTTGCTTACTATTGACAGGAGGCAGCCAGGTCAGTCGGAGAGTTAATAAATGATTGAAAGGATTGGCTCAGTCACAACAGCCGAGGCTATTCTGTCGATCTAGACTATTGATCCACTGCTGGATCCATCAATTAAATTCTAGGGTTGTTTAAATGAAGAAATAAAAAAAATACATGATTAGAATGGCTTATATTAGCTAGCTCAAATTACTGCTCTGAATCGGATTACCAGAGCAATGGAATAAGTATCTTTTAAATTTCGTCACATCACAAAAAAGACATATATCATGTTCCATATGTTATGTATTCAGAACTCTATTCTAAAACTCTAAATAAAATTTAATTTAAGCATTTTTTTAAAAAGTCCCTAGATTCATAAATGTAATCCAACAAATGCATTCATTAGACATGTCAAGGATGAAATTGTGGAAAGTATTCCAAAAAGGATTAGGTTGTAAAAATTATATCCAAAGCTTCGAATACCTTTATCAAGTTCTGTGGAGATTTAATGAGTGTGGCACAACTATAAATCTAGAAAGAGACTGCCTTCAACTGAACTAAAAGAAGAAGACTCAATTTAATCAAGAATCAGTTTAAAGAGCAGCAAATAGTTGGGCATGTGTACTCTTGTACACATTAGCATGTTTTCAGAAATCCACAGTTCATGTTGGAGAATCTGTTGCTGGACAATTATTAGCCATTCAAATAAAAATAATCTTTAGTTTAAAGAAAAAAGGCAAGAGAAAAAAAGTAGTAGCTAAAAGAAATGTAGAAGGAAGTACACATACCATTTGATGGAAGCCTTTAAGGACACAACAACTATAAAAAAGGCTTTGATCCAACATTTAACTTTTTTGCTTCAAAATGACTGTAAATAAAATCAGTATTCAAGCTTAGGTCAGTCTTTTTGTTAAATTTACATTTTGTATGTGAAATTGCCCAGTCAAACATTATTTTGAATGTCCTTTCACATATGATCTCAATCTTAATTTAGATTTTTAAGCTATTCTCGAAATAATAGGTTATTTGCCCTTCTATGCAAAGCAAATGCAGACATACCCAAACCGACCAGCAGGAATTGTAATAATAATTCATTAAAAAAAAATACTGACCCAGGAGAGATAGATATAAAACTACACCACACTTTTCATTTTTTTTTTACAAAATAATATCTAACTTCCATTTCAAAAGCAGGCTATACTCGGCTATAGTCAATCTATCAAATGAAATCCCAATAAAACATAATTTGGTTGTGATACGACTAAATGGGAAAAGGTTCAAGGGGTAAGAAGATATTTAGTAAAACCTCAGTAAAATCTATGGAGCACTTTTATATGACTGATCGGCAAAAATGCAAGCATAGACATTAAACAAGTAAGCCAGACACACGCAAAATGCAAATAGATTTTTGATACAATTTATTTAGATTAATTTGTTTGGTAGGTTCACATATACTCTACAGTATGTTACTTCATTAGCTACATAAAAGAAAGACACCATATAAGAATAAGGTGTTTGCGAATAAATTAAGTAAGTATGTGCTTTCAGCTGGACCCTTTTTTAGAAGTTGACACAGCAAGTTATCACAGTTTGCACACAGACTTGGCAGATGCCCCTCTCCACGAGGATTCAAACCTGGTTCCTCTGTATAAGAGAAGCAAACAGCCCGCTACAGCACCGAGGGACATGCTTATGAATAAAGTACAACTTTAAAATCAATAACAAGAACGACTCAAAAGACTTGGGTGAATAAAGCTCAAATTAGAAGGTGAAAGACTTTCCAACGTTTCAACAAGGACGTTGACTTTGGTTTCACTGGGTTCCAGTGACAGTAGCGGTTGGCATAAAGCATTATTAATGACCAAGGAACCTGGCCTTCAGGCTAGGCGTTAATTATATCACTGGAGAGCTGGGGGAAGAGAGCAGGAGGGGTGAGGCCACTCCCAGTCTTGTGCACATGTGTGTGTGTGTGTGTGTGTGTATAAGTGTGTACATTTTACATTGTTAAGCCATTACTGTCCTAATTTCTAAAGTGATGCCCGGTTGATAGATTGCCTGAATCTGTCCCCAATATCAGCCCAGACACTATCAGATTTCTGTAATTGTGTTTTTCTCATCTTACTCATGTCAGATAGTACTCTTTTTGTCCGTATCAGCATTACAGGACAAAAAAAAAGATATACTAAATTCCCCTCTAAACAAATCAGCTCCTCACTTTAGGTTAGAAACAATGCACTGCTCAGTGGAGTCAGTGTGCCCTTGAACTATCTATCTCTCCCTCTTATCAAGATAATGCATCAAATTAATTTCACCTTACTTAATTTATCTGATGAAAATCTATGCTCTGATTTAACAATTCACTTTTTTCCACTAATCTGAATGTGACAGAGTTTACTGGAGAGATAATTTGGTTAGCTAAAGGCTACTGTTTTCATTATTAAGCCCGTCTTAATCACCACCATCCTCTCCGTACACTGGCACAGATTCGTAGTCTAGTTCTTGGCGTGCCATGAGCAGAGGGTGTGTTTTTGATAGCTGGCGCCTGCATGTGACAGCACCATCGGCTGCGAGCGGTCCTCCACTCTTTGCCGTCTCATAGCATCTGTGGCGCTGTGCTTTAAAAGGCCAGGGGCCGATCACTGTGCATCCCCTTTAACGCATCTCAAAGTCAGGCCTCCTTAAAGTCAAACTGTGGCTCTTCGTCTGAAGTTAAAAAGTCCATCACTGTTCTAATGTAGTTCAACTGAATACCAGCCAGCATTTTTTCACTGGACAGATAGATGTAAACTGTCATAGTATACACACCATTAATAAGAGGAAATAAGCTAACATTTTATTTTAGAAAACTTTGTGGGGTTTTTTTCTGTTCAAGTCATATGTACATTTAGGTTTTATACCCATTAAGTTAGTTATTGTTTTATTTACAATCATAAACCTTCAACAAAACAAAACGGTATGGTTATTAACATGTTTTTTTTTTTTTATATAAAAAGTGTAATGTTTAAGCTCAAACACCAGGGTGTCAAATGTCAGTTGCAATTGCTGCTATTACAAATGTAATGGACGTTTTCCAGATCCTCAATATATATATGTTTGGACTTTGAATATCTGCCATTCTAGACTTTCTGTTTAAGGTTTGATTTTGGGTTCACAGTCATACTTTATTGTATGTCATTCTGTATTTATTTTATTTCTAAATTCTTACTTTTTCTCTTCCTTCTTGTCTCTTTTTAGCATTTTTGCTATTATTTATTCTTTTGTCTAGTTTTAGTTATTGATTCTGTTATGCTTAGGTTATGTTTTCTAAAGCTTCAGTTATCTCCTTTCCTTCTCTTATGCTCTAGTTTTCACCTTGGTTATTCCTTATTTTGTAGTCATTAGTTTTATTCCCCTTAATGCTTATTTAAGTTCTTTTCTAGTTACAGTTACACCCTGTTTTCACTGGTTACTCTTTTTTGCCCCCTAGTGCCCCTTTCCTTTCCCCTTAGCTCCTTTCTAGCTGCTTCTGTCCACACCTGCTCCCAATTAACTGATTACTCCACTTTTGGTTGTCTTCCATATATGTTTCTCTGCAGTTTCATAGTATTGAATTATCTTAATTCCTTCTTGTATGTTTCTCCTGAGCTTCTCTAGTTTTTGTTTACTGAGTTCCCAGCCTGTTATTACTGGATTTATGTCTTTGTACCATCTACCTCACCCTGAAAACTGCAAGAACCACCTCCTCTACTCTGCATTACAGTCCACAACAACATCCACCAACCTTGAAAAACTTACCCTCCTCTCTTATCTTTATAGTGACTGTTTTTCTAAGACTTGATATGTGCATTATTTACCTCCATCATTTTTTATATAAACTTAGATTTCATGAAGAAAATGATCTCAACAGCATAATGACAACAGTGCTATTAATTTTTAAACTGCTGTCAGACAACATTTGCTCTGAATCAACACTATAATAATAATGTTTGAGTTGAATTGAATGGTGGCTATCGTGTGTTTTGATTGTTTTTTTTTTTTAAACTTATGCAGTGTTTTGCATATGGGATCAGTGTTGGTCTCATCTTCCAAAATTTCCTACAGTGTCCACTACAGTGGAGCAAACTACAAAAACAAAATGTCCTCTGGCTTTCCTTTAAAAGTGGCTTTCTTCTTGTATCTCCTCTGTGAAGAATATTTTGTTATTATTAAGCAGTAATTTGCTCAACAGCTGGTTGTCTTTTCAGTGCATTCTCCCATTCTAGACAGAGATAACACTCTGGACAAATCCAGAAAGCTGTTAAGTGTGGTGATCTTAGCTTTTAGGTTACTCCATATGTTATCAAATTTTTAGGATGTAGCCTACTTAATATTGCTCTAAGACATATGAAAAATTTGTCTCAGAGCAAAATTTGCTTGGTTACCTAAACAGTGATTAAACCTTATCAACTTTATCCTTGATCACTCAGCTGTTTTCTTTATATTGCTGTTTACTCAATAATCTTTTCTATGAAATCCCTCCAAAGTTGGAACTGTATTAAAGACAGATAAACACAATACTTGCTTATAATGTTGAATCTGTGGAGGAAAGGACACGTCCGAATTTTTACAATTGTATTTAAAAGAGTATTGAAACAAAAAAAAAACTGCACTTTAACACAGCAAAAAATGCAATGGGCATTCTTCTACTTTTAAGGATAATAATTTAATATTTTTTGCTTCTTAATTGATCATACAATTTAACATCCCCTTTAAATATATTCAAAGGTCTATTTTACTTTTTAGATTAATACAGCGTTTTGTTATAAGTTCAAGTTTAGTAACTAGATTACCATCACATTGTATATTCTTTAAAACACTAACCAAAACTTTTCTCATTCTATATCCAGTTTTCAGGGAGCCCTATACAGTCCGTGTGGCTGACCAGCACTCCATGCGGGGTAATGTTGCCGTATTCAAGTGCCTCATCCCTTCAGCTGTTCAGGAGTATGTCAGCGTGGTGTCCTGGGAGAAAGACACCGTTTCCATCGTCCCTGGTAGGACATTATGATGGCAGTTTTCATTATTGATTCATAAAACATTAAGCTACCAAAAATACAGAAAGAGTGTCATAAAGCATTAACACATTTGTTTGATGGGTAATATCAAGCACATACAAAAATGTGATGTCAATAGTCTTTGTTGTTTTTTTCTTTTTGCCTATGTCCAAGTCAGTGGATTTTATTTGCTTCAGTGAGAGAATGTATACAGTAAGAGTTTCAACAGAAGGCAGACTTACTAAAAACTTATTATGTGGATAAATATGCATTACTATTTTTTCTCTAATTCAGTGCCAACACATGGCAGGAACAAGATTTTTTTTTTTTTAACTGCTGGGTCCGACAAATAACTTTTTCCTGTTTTCCCCTGTATTCAAATACAGCACATTTAGAATATTTCTGGTTACCTAAAACATATGAACATAAAAACACAGACATACAGTGGGGAAACTAAAGGCACAGCATCCAATTAAAGCACATTATACTGTTCTTTTAAAAGATCCATGAGAGAAGTAAAACTGATATTTTTTAATCAAGATTATAACTTGAATATATACAACCTGCCTGTGGCTATTTGGTTGAAAATATATTTGACAGAGAGGCAAAGATTTGAATGTGTTGACTGAAAAGAGGGGGGACTCTTAAGTATACAGTCTGACAAGTGACACACTTGTGTAGCTGCACATGTAAAAAGTCAGCAGCTACACCTCTGCATCTACAGGTAGCAGCAGTTTTCCTTACTCCACTCGATCCTTTGTTTAAATCATTCAACAAAGTATTGATATCAGTCTGAAACTGAGCCTACTACTTGACATTCTTTTTCTATGCATTGCCATAGGTGTGTGCATCTGACAGTGTTCAGGTTTGCGTGTCACAGTGTAAACATCTGCTCCATAGAGCTATGGCAAATTGCAGGATGTCAGATGAGACTGTTTAGGTCAGATGATACGTTTTGCTCACCCTGCCCTTTATCTCCCTCTCTGTTGTGGAGCACTCATTTCATCTCTCTGCAGTACATGTGCTTATGTGTATAAAGGTGTGTTTGTGCTCCTCTTTGTACAATTCTGTCCTTCACACAGGAGGACCCATTGATCCAACACAATAATAGTGTGTATGTGCATGTGTGTGGCCTGAGGGGGGTTCCCAGTCTGGATCGATAAAGCTTGTTGTTGGATTCCCCTCTCTCTTGTCACGGATCTCTCTGTGCGAGAGTGGTGAGACCAGGCAAGTCTGTTTGACTCATAGCTCAGAGTGTGAATGTCTACGCTTGTGTGTGCGTGTGTTAGTAAAAACCAGCGTATCATGTTTGTGTGCTAAGCACTCAGTGGGAGTATGGTATTGATCATTTGGTAAAACATGCACACATAAACAACTAAAAGCATGTTGGAAGAGTGTCTCTCATGCACAGACATAAGTACATGTGTAAAGAAACGGTTTCTAAAGATTTAAGCAGTGATACATCCCCCCTAAAAAAAATCAGGAATTAGGATCTACCTTTTTGAAAAGATAAAGTTTAAATAAATAGGTACAAGTTGCCATGAGTTTTCTCCATAGGCTGACCGGACTCTGGATGCAGCATACTTTAAAGCCTTCATGGATGGATGGGAATAAATAAATGCATTACCAGTTAATGACTAATTAAATTTTAACAGTTGATAACTAATTAAATGGTGTATTTTCAAGATCCCAGTTTTGTGGAAAACAACTATTAAACAATCGGTGTTATTTATGTCACATTTCTCAGATCAGAGGACAAAGAATATGAAAAAATCCATCTAGAAAAAATATATTGGGCTATTAATGACTGTCCCAAACCTCTTGATGCTGTGTGCAGCACTTTGCACAGAGGCGTCTGTAATAAATGTGCTATAAATACAAACATATATAAATAAATTAAATCTACCTTTCAGAGAGGCCTTCTATTATTGTAGATCTTTGAGCTAATCTCATAAAAAATGTGAGCAAAACCAAAATTGTTTATACGTGTGTTTATATTTTTGTTGAGTGTAATACATTTAGCTTTTTTTTTAAGATAAAAAAACCTAAATTACATTAAATAGTATATATACATAAAACCTCAAAGATATATGTCTCTTTGTTTCTATCCTGTTCAAGGTGTCTTTTTCGTTTTATTCTTCACCAGCAAATAAGTAGAAGGCTGAAATCATGCTTTCAAATTTGATTTAGTTGAAAAATCCAAAAGGTAGATAAAACCACAATGTTCACTTTTCAATGAAGCTGTAAAAAGTTTAGTTCAGTAAAAGATAATTACAGTTTATCAAAGTTCAACATTAACCAATTGTGCTAAAGAGCAGTAACATAAGAGATGTTATATTATGAATCAAAGATGCTGATTGTTTGCTAGTTTTTCTCTCTAAATATAGCAGGGAATCATTATTTTCTTTATTTTTTTTAAATGAGAAACTGCATTCCAAACCGGTCAAATATTCATTTAAATAAACCGTGGAGCCTTTTTCTCTTTATTCCCTCTACTCCTTCTCTCTCCCTACAGCTGATAAGTTGGAGTTACCAGTAAGACAGAGGATCTGTTCTTTTCAGCCATTTTTTACTCAAAGGGTGTTCTCATCTCTAAGCGTTCTTGGTACAGACTGGTGGCCTGTGTTGATGGCTCCACACACAAGGACTTACACACTTAACACTGACCCAAACTGAGTTCCCCTCGGAAGCGTTCCTGTCTCCATCCATCCATCCATCCATCCATCCATCCATCCATCCATCCATCCATCCATCCATCCATCCATCCATCCATCCATCCATCCATCCATCCATCCATCCATCCATCCATCCATCCATCCATCCATCCATCCATCCGCTTGTGGTTACATGCTAAACTTTCATCCTCTGATCTAATGAGATGAGAAAGCTCTGATGCTTTGCCATTTATTAGAGACAATACTAGGTGTTGGCTTGACAAAATGACATATGTCACCCAGACCCTGTGTTGGTCAATAAAACTGAGTTCAAAAAGGCTTTGATGAAGAGGGAGGATGGTGTTTGATGACAGTCGGCCTCACTGTGATTCGACCCTTCTGGGGTCTCGTGTCAGTATTTGACAGCCAAATCTGTTTGCTTTTGTGGCCTACACATAGAGCAATGCTGGTGAATGGGGGTTATGGGTAAATTTACAGAAAGACAGTCGGATTGTCAAACAGAGGAGGGCCAAGTGTGTTGACTAGCTCTTGTAGCTTTTACTGAGTTGTCATAACCGCTGCTTTTACCTTTTACTTTATTTTTCCATGTAACCATGCCTCTCTGTTTAATTTGTGGTTTTCTGTCACTTATGTAAGAATTAGCATTTGTTTTCTTCTCAGTTAGGGAACTGAAGGAGTACAATCTGACGGATGTGTAATAAAAAAACTTTGTCGGTGTATGTGTGTGCATGTGTGTGTGTGGGGGGGGTTGTTGGGGGGGTATGAAACGGTGTGTATCTCCTTTTCCAGTTGGAGCTTAGAACAGTGTGAGTTTTATCCAATCACCATGGAAACCAGTGGAATGCGGCAGGCGCAATGAGGAAGGTGTGAGGATGCATCGCTGCTTGATTTTTATTAGTGCATCACCATGGCTCAGCTCCACCATACTTATGCTCACACACATGCATACACACAGGCAAACAGAGAACAGAGATGCATATTTCTATTCCATCTTAGGATGTAGGACAGGGAAACTGATCTAGCTTATTGTTAATACTGTCTGTTAAACATGTAGAAGAAATATTAACCAAAAAAATGTTAACCAAAAAAAATGTCCAGGTTTGATTTTAATGCCTCATGACAAAAAGAAAAAACATCAAGTGTCCTTTTCAAAGTTTGGATTTAAGTCCAGTTAGGCTGCTGAGACATTCATATATACATATCATTGCAAATAAATCAAGATGTTTGAAAGGCAAGAGTTTGTTAAAGAAGAATAGGCCAAAACTGATGTCAAAAACCCACTGCCAGTCATCTCAAATGCTTATTTTTCCAGCAATGGGTAGGATGGGGAGTGAGGGGACAATGGGTTATTCGCATAGCGCCATATTGGTTGGATATAGTTTGACCATTTAGAAATTAAAATCTGGACAAAAAAAAAAACATTTCTCAACACCACTGATTCGTTACAACTGTTTCATTTAAAAGTGTGCTATGCTTGAGTTTATTCATAGAGGGTGGTGCTGCTTGGAAACTGATTTGTTCGTAACTTTCAAATCATTAGCAGAAAAAAAGACTAGCAGTGAGTGTTTCATAAAGGGTGTTGAAAAAATGGACATAAGTGATTTTGTGTTCTCTGATTGAAGCTGTTTAATCGCTTATCTCTTTGATACTCACTATATGCCTCTCTGAGTAAAGTGTTTTGCCACTGCTGCAGTTCCTGTCTTAGTCTCCATTTTGTGTCCTCTCTGCAGAGGCCCAACACCTCTCTCCATCCCTTCATCTATCCACTCTTAACTTTCTCCTACTCTTGTCCTTCCTTTTTAGAGGCACTTATTTTGAGATAGCAAAGTGACAATGCCTGGCCTGTTCCATTCATTCCATCACACGAAAAAGTGAGCACAAGATAGACCCAAAACTACAGAACCAGCAGAAAACAGAGGGATGCAAAGTGGCACAAAAGCATGACATGCTAAATTATGCAGATGGCAAAGCGACTATGGGATGGAGAGACAACAGAATAAGTTAGGTACATAGGGACGTATGAGAGTGTGTGCAGATGGACAAAGAGAGAGGTGTATGTTTTAGTTTTCCTGCTGTCCACAGCACCCAAGGGAGAAGGGGAAGGCCAGGGGCTTTAAAACCCCCAATCATTAAAGATGCATCTGACAAGTTTCTCCATCCTGTCTCCTCTGTCTCTCTTTGTCCTTTTGTAATATCCCCCGTTACTGTCTGACCATTAACCATTATACACAGCTATGTGTACTTTCTGTTAGCAGTGAAGCAGTTTAGACCTCAAGTAAAAGGTAGTGGAAGAGGGCAGTCAAGAGGTTAGCTGGGGAGGGGAAA